GGTTACTGACTATAGACCTGTTGTGTAGGCATGTGGAGCTAAATAACATGTTGAAAAGGAGTTGTTAAATGAGCTGATGTTTATGATGTTGTGGTTGCACTTGTTAAGCTAGCTATAAAGGTATCTTGTTCCTCTTATACTTCATAATGTTCAGTTTGTAGTTTATAATTGGTTCAAATCATAATGTCTAAATTGGAATTTTTGGATTTGGCACTCGTTATGTTTCCTTCTTTGGCTAGATGGGCGTGCAGTGGTTTTCCAAGAAGAGGACAGATGGGCCACTCCGCTTATGCACACCGGTAAGTTTCAATTATACCCTTTCTTGGTTTGCTAGGTCTTAATGAAAACAAGAATAATGATCTGAACAGAAAAATAATCTTGACCAGCAAAAGTAGAGGCATACATTGTTGATTGGAAAAGCAGTTTAATGAACCTAAAACATGAACAACCATGACCAGAAAGTATGAAAATACCCAACAACACATCATAACGTCCTCCAATCAAATATCCTAACTCATCCATAGAGTATCAAACAAATGGCCAGATTCGAAATGTGTCTCCGATTATTAGAATCCATGCCAATCTTTTCAACTAGCCTTCTTGCTGCTCCTCAGGCCTTCCCTTCTAGTACATGGCTTCTTATGCAACATTGAATATACAAAGTTTAGTTCCAACGAAAATTATTGTTTCCCAAAAGTATTCTAGACATGCACAATGAACTTCTAATATTACAGTTGGTGGATCAGGGATGTCGGTTGTATCAACATCCTCTTCAGTATCCTCCTCTGATAACTCTGGACAAGTTCTGGCATTATGAGTATCCTTCCCACATTTACTGCAATGTTTTGGTTTTCTGCCAATGTGGGGTGCTTGCTGGTCAGCTCCGTTGTTGGCGACGTTTTCACTATTTGGTTCTTCATTATTTGGTACTGTGTGGCCAGCAGCTCCATCATTAGCTTCAGTATCAGTAGGTTCTGGTATTGTAGGCCTCACATAATCAGGAGGCTTCTTACAAGTGCTTTTTTATGACCCAATACGCCACATCTGCTACACATTCGTTGCTCCCCTTTCTTCCTTTTGTTTTCTTGTCCACCCGAACCTTTGTATTTCACAGGATGTGGATCCAAAAGTTTCTCTTTTGCCTTTGGTCTATTGATATCTGGGATCTCAGTATCACCTTCGTTCATCATGTCTAGCGATTCACATATGGATGCAATTCCTGTACGAGCAAGGTTGAAGCTTTCGCTTGATTTTGCCCCTTTTAACCATAACTGGGAGCTGCTTTGTTGAAGAAGCCCATATCTGAAAACCAGTCAATATTATTATTCTATTAAAACGTCACGAAAAAGTGAAAGCTTATGTTCTAAAATGGGTCAACGCCCTCTGGTACCACCTTAGTATTTAATAAACACATCTGAACTGCTTTCTTAAACACAGTAACACACAATTTCCAGCTTTATACAGTAACTACGAACCTGAATGTGAATAGTCTAGGCTCGTCCATATTGTGTGGTTGTTGTAAGCTATCAAGTGTCTTCGGCTTCTTTGACCACCTTAACTTTACCAACCGTTCTGGAAGTTCCAACATACCCTCTTCTTTCAGTAGATGAACCATATGAGCGCATGGTATTCCCATATAGTGGTAATAGTTACAACTACACTCCATAGCGAAGGGCTCAATTGTGTATGTGACCTGAAAAACCTTTTGTTTACCTGACATTGTCACTCTGTAAATGCGTTGGTTTTCCGATATCTCTGAATCCATCCTTACACAAGCTCCCGACTTTTCAACCTCATCTCTGAATTTGAAAAAGGCTTCTTTTGTGAATAATTTAGACGCACTCTTCCGAAGTGAGACTAATATATTAGACGTTATTGTCCGTTCACGATGGATGGACTCAAAATCAGCTTGTTGCTCCATCTCCCTCATATCCCTAGACCAACGATCAAAATGAATAAAGAACTCAAGTAGATTATGATTGTTTTCGATATACTTGGTAAGCTGAGAGTTCATTCCTTCACATCTAGACGTTGTTGACAAGCCTGCAAAGAACTTTGAGCGCAAGTATGTATACCCCCATTCAGTTCTTTGGTCAAATAGATGTGAAACCCAATTGTTATGCTGCTGTGAGCACTCCTCGACCATTGTTTTCCACTTATCTTCAAATAATGAAGGTTCCCAATCAGCTGACACGAAATGTTTCCATTGTGGCAAGAAGTTAGGATTGTCCCTCACTTTTCTGGCAATAGTTTTGTCTATGTGCCAAGCACATAAACGATGTGTCGCATCGGGGAATACTTGCTGAATCGCATTGCGCATGGCTTTATCTCCATCTGTGACAACAGTTTTAGGATCTACACCGCCCAACCTTCTCCTCAAGGCATCTAGAACCCATACATAGTTTTCTTCTTTCTCATTTGCCAAAAATGAACATCCAAATATGCAACTGTTGAAGTGGTGGTTCACACCTAAAAAATAAACAGGTTAGTAAAATTACTTCACTAATAAGACAAGAATTACACTATACCCATAAAGCATGGAAGTGATATTGCATTAGGCTCTTTAACGTGTGGTATTAAGTTTCAATGAATAAATACTTTATACTTTATAGGAATGAAAATATAAGTTACTATGAACCGAAAATAAAAGAATTAGTACCTGAAAAAATTACTAGAGGCATATTGTAGACGTTCTTTTTGTAAGTCGCATCAAAAGCCAATAATTCTCCAAAGCATGCATAATCAGCCACTGAAATACTATCTGCCCAGAACAAGTTAACAAGCCTGTCTTCATCGTCTTTTTTTAGCTCAATTACGAACTGTTCATCCGCACTTAGTTTCGCCTGTAGGTAAGCTAGTGCTGTCGCAGCATCACCATCACTAATCTGTTCCTTCCGATCTTTGTCCACGTAATTATACGCATCTTTCCTCGTGAACCCCATCTTGCTATAGCCTCCTGCCTCTGCAACCGCTAGTGAAACAATCTGTGATGTTTTCATTCCTGCAGCTCTCCGGAAATTGATTGTTGCTTTAACTGCATCACTCAACTGTCGATTCCCTTTCATGTAGTGTCGGTATTTTTTTGGAACCGTTACGTGAGAGTGCACGTTATGAAAGGTATCAACAAACCACTTCCCATCTGACTTGTCTAGTCGTACACGAATCCTAGCTTTGCAGTCAAATCTCGTCTCTCCTTTTGGTTCCCTCTTTCGTTCACCCTTTCGGTCGCGCTTTGTTCCTTGACCAGAACATACAAACCGACGCCATATCATGACCTTGTCTTTATCTCGGCCAATATCTTCTTTCCTGACGTCAAAGCCGGTGACCAGCCCATAGTTCCTCCAAAAATCATAGGCTTCTTCAGTGTTAGCGAATCTTAGCTTGTCGATATCTTCTTGCTGTAGAAGTAAGAGATCGGCAATATCATCCTCTTCTACCTCTGAACTTTGGTGAACGTTATGAATAGTTGAACCGTTACTGTTGTTAATATCTTCATTGTTTTTCACTTCGACGATTTCATCGTCTTCCATGATCGTCGCGCTTGTGATTGTCCAAGCCAACTAACCCTAAGTAGCCAAAGTAGTACTAAGGAACTAGCCTCTCCGCTGGCGCTTCACTATGAAAAACCTAAAGGATGTTGTATATAAGCTGTGAAATTAAATCCTTGTTTTTAACGGAACAATTTGGGTCAAAACATCCATGGGCTGGACTGAATTCGTTTGGCCTATTTAAATAAAACTAGTGGGCCTAAATAACCTCCTTGGTTCGCATAACCAAGCCTGTCGTCCCTCAAATGGAGGACACCTATTCCAAAAGCATCAATTGCACCAGGTGGCCCCTCCAAAGAAGCACACCTGTCACCAAAAGCATCAATTCATATATGAAAATCCTATCATCATTTACTCTGCACCTTTGTCATTGGTTGTAGGAGATTGTATGTTGATAAGATTTTATCCCCTTACAGCCTATATAAAACGCAGTCCCCTCTTCCTTCAAAATCATGGAAGCAGCAAATGAAACTTGAAATTCCTTAAAGTTCTTCCTCCAACCTTATTTGCATCAAGTTACGGTAATGAGGAGAACTCCAAGTGGCTAAAGAGTTTCCCAACATTCAATCATGTTTGTGAGTTTGCCATGTATAGATGGGAAACTCTTTGGCCATTTGGATGTTTTTCTCATTGCATTGTAAGAAGTTATTATTTGTACAGGAGGTTGAGAATGTGGATCCGGGATTTCTTCTTTGTTCTTGAGTTTGAGTCTTTGTCTTCGTTTTTCATTTTTATATTTCCTGTGTTCAATTACATTTCCGCTAATGCCTTGTGTTCTTATTCATACTCCGTTCTTGTGTTTATATTTCTGGGTTTCACTGCTTACTCTGTTTTCCGGTTTTGGAACGAAGAAAGAAACAGAGCTTTGGTGCTCTGCCGCGGGAAGCCTAGATCACTCTTAATTGATTGGTTGAAAATGGGCCAAACGTGAATTCATAAACTGGCGGAGCCACAACCAACCAAGGGAGGTTAAACTGGCATCGTCTTCTTCCCTTCTTCCATCTGCTTTCGTGGTCTTGTCTTTTCGAACCTTAAAACCCTAAAATGAAGCCCCTAATCGGTTTAATGAGGTGGATAAATATATAAGTTCACACGTAACTAGTTAATTCCTTATTAAGTTCATTTAATGAGGTGGATAAATATAGAAGTTCCCACATATAAAAAAAACTCTAATTGATATCTCACGGGTTTTCCTAATACACGAGGTTAAACACCCCTCTGGCGCATCTATTAATATGGCCAAACATCTTGCCCAAAACTCATTCAACTAAAAGTAGCGCAGAGGCCCTTTGGTCAACATTGTGTCTGTAACATTATGGGGAAGGAAGGGTAAGTTCTGCAATCCGCTAATGTGTTTTCTTTAACTTTTTAGTCAGCTATTTCGTTGTATTTGTTCTTATATTCCACTCTCTCGTTGCTTTTTTGTACAATTATATTAGGGAGAAGAACAAGATGACGAGCGGCCAGTCTACTGTACGCCTAACGCGTTCTCTAGCCAAGTCTATGGTTCGTCCAGGAGCTTTAACAGTAGGTTATTTATACAAAACTTATTCTGACTTGATTGTTCATTATTGTAGGAATTGGAGAACTATGTATCTCCTGCAAAGAAAACAAGAATGCAAGACGTCACCCCCCCACCTACACCCGACTTGAAGGTGATTGTTCTTGATGCTGAACCAGGGCTGGACCATTATGAGCTAGGTGTGCAAAACAAACCCCTCACGCCTCCACAAAAATTGTCAATGAAGGTATGTAATCCTAGTGATGTACATATGCTTCCTTTTCGCCCACTATTTTCGTTGTTTTCCTTCGTTCCTTTCTCCGCCACTTGACTTCTATTTCTTCTTTAATTAATTATATATTTTCATTTAAAATGTAAAACCTAAAACTCAAGAAAACCTCTTCTTATTTCCTCTATTTGTTCGTTCTCCATGATTGAAGGGTACCACAAGGTTTGAGCTCCCTACAGCCGTCAACTACAGTGACGAAGAAGTGAGTTTTGCTCACTATATATATGCAGAAGACCTTCATCCTGATGAAGCTTTGGTCAAAACAATGATGAAATCATATACCAGGCAGACATTATGGAGCTTATGCCCCGAGTCAAGCGTTGATGCTGATGTAAGTACTTCTGCGAAACGCCCCTAGTTGACCTGAACGTGCTTAACGATTTTTAATCATTGGATTTTATTTCTATTGTGTTTTAGGTAATTACAGCGTTAGCATGCCACTTGACCTTGGACGAAGTTAAAAGAGATACTGGTCGTGGAAGAGGAGTGTGCTTTCTGCCTACGGAATTGCAGGTAAGTGTTGCTTTTGCTTTGTAATTCTATTTCAGTTTACACAGGGTTGGTTGTTTATTAAGTAAGATTAGTGTTCAATGATTTAACTTCATTTTCCTACCAGGATATCGTGGTTAATTATGGCATGACATCTGCAAAGGCATTAGAGTTATATGATACAAAATTCCTATCAAAAGCTCATAACTGTAGAAAGGTTATGACTTCTCCACAATTCTTCCTTCTCATTTCTGCTTATTTAGTAGCGGTTTTCACAACATATGTGCGCGTGAATTATGCCTGCCCTTCTGCTTAATTTCTTGAATGAATTATGTCGGAAAACTAATTAGTTAATTGGATTGTTTTCTCGTACCTGTGAAGGTTTGTCTTCCCATGAAAGATATGATGAATGATGAAGGCATCCACTGGTATTTAGCTATAATTTTGATGGACCAGAAACAAGTACACATTCTGGATTCATGCCCATCAAAAGAGCGCCAAACAATCCGTACGAATGCAGTTCACAAGGAAGTTGTAATTCATAGGTTACTTTTTGAACGTTGTAGATTGAATTTCTGAACGACTTGTTCGATGCCTTACACAAGGAAGTTCAATCAACATGTGCACCACCACAGATCAAGGAGTTTACTTTGACCACTCCTGAAGTTCCTACACAACGACACAAGTAAGAATGTATATTTGGTCATAATTTCACTAGAAAAATAAAATATTTGTGTCTTACGTAATGCATCTTTCTAAACAGGAATGATAGTGGGATCTGGGTTTGTGTGTGGATGATGGGATCAACTTGGGATGATGACTATTATATTTGGGTAAGAAATCACCTACTACCTAGGCCCATTTATTTCTACGAGCACATTAAAAAAACTATGTCAACTATTGTATTAATACGTTATATTTTCTGTCCTTACAGCCATGCAATCATTTGAGAAGAATGCAGGTGGCATTGTACCTAGTCAAAGAGCCTACCAATTACATAAGACACAAGGTGTTCAAGAAAGCAAATCAGAATGCGCCTAGGTTTGAAGCTCAGACACTTGAGTACAAAATAGCTTCCCAAGAGAGGAAAGCAGGTTCCCAGAAGAGGCTAATTCAGGAAAGCAGCTTCCCAGAAGAGGCGAATTCAGGGCTCAAGGATATCTAGTCGCATAGTGTGTTCTGCTAAAACATTTTAGCATTTAGTTTTGTTTCTTCCTTTCCAACGAATGCCCTCTTTATGGTAACGATTTAAGGACACGTTTATTATTTGGCGGATAGATTGCAAGTTTTGGTGTGCTTTTTTATTTATTAGAGGGAGGCTAGGAAATCAGCCGAATAAACACAAGTACACAGTCAGAGTCTAGTTTGCCAAACAGAAATGGAACCGCTACAGTAATCTCACATTGCAGACAGATAGCCAAAATAGCAGCAACAGAAACAGCCACCTCTGAGATTCGCATAAAAACTAATAGAGATAAACTGGCCAGATTACTTGCCTCGGGAAACTTATTCCCATCACGTCTTCACGAAGTAACCCATCAAAATTTGCTGGTGGATCGTCCAACAACCAGCCCAATCAAGTGGACCCTTAAACCATTTTTCAATAAAGATGGAAGAACCCGAAACATGATTAAAAGCATCACTAGTGAAGAATGTGGCTAAAATTGAATTAGGAACTTATAGTCATTTCTCGTGGTGACTAAAATGAAAGAGGTCACATATCGTCCATTCAAATAATATTTGTCTGAGCTCAACCAAACTTGAGTTGCTCCCCATATAAATGTAATCACCCTCTTGTTTCTTCATATCTTCTTCAGACAACTTATCAACTGTGCTAAACATGAAACTATCAAGATCGACTTCCTTGTTCATCGGATCCATTCTGACCTGGAAAAAGAAAACCACCAAACAAGCTCCTCAACAGATCATATCAAAGACTACTGAAAGAATGGACCAAAAACACACATGATCCTGGAAAGGGACATCTTAAGCACCTAATTCCGATACACATTAACTCGGTTTATCATCAATGCATAAAACCGTCACAGCAATTCGTCAAAACCCTTACCTTGTCAAAGTTAACCACGAAGATAGAAGCAGGACTGGGCCTGTCGGGGTCTCTGTTTAGTTCGAACCCCACGGTTTCAGTGTAAAAAAATGTAGGAATAGAATTTTTGAAATACAGACTCCACAGCTTTAGCCTCCGCTTCAAACAACGAGACCTCTCTTCCCAAATAAGTCTACAATACACCTCATCCATATCAGAGATCCATCCAAAATCACAGCATTGTAGTTCGAAAATCAATTTCGGCAATTTCAATTCAAAATCCCTTTCTTACCTCCCTAGCAGATCCTGAAGGAACCATGGCCTCTTTCATTGCCTTCTCCAGTGCAATCATCTCCGCCTGCCCAGCTGTTTGCACAAGTGAATTACTCATACAAGCAACAATTAGTTTTCATTCAAAGGGATGGGGGTGCTTATGCTTGCACAGCTTGACGCCGAGATTACCTGCGATATTCGGCCAGTTTAGGGTTCAAACAATCGATTGGGAGGAATCATAGGACAGGTGGGAAATATAACAGTCGAGAACGGGAAAACGAAGAAGAATAAGAGGGGGAAACAGAGTGGTTCAATTATCGCTGCCATTTTCTGAGGCGGCTGGGATGATTTAGAGGAGTAGGGAGGAAGAACAGGGTTATTCCCAATTCGAACAGAAAAATGGAGAAGAGAGAAGGTCCAAGGTCGGGATTTGGAGGAGAGGGGTAGGGCTGCGGGTTGCAAGGTAGGTGTCCTTTCTCTTAGGGTGGTTGGATTTTGGGTCAGTTCAATAACTAAACAGAACCAACCCGATTTGGTTTACAATGGACTAAAATGAAAGAAAAACTAATTCTATGAGTTGATCTGTAATTTTATTTAATATAAATTCCGAAAAAATAAATCATTTAATAAAATTTAATCTCAGCCATCGAGATCACATGTACGGTCAAGATCACCCAAGGTACGCCATACCCCGGAATTTACCCGGGGTACGATAGAAGCCACCATATATATGGCTAAGGCTAGCGTACACCCAACGTACGGTATACACCTATGTTCACACTTAATTAATTATTAATAAAATTTATAGTTAAAATCACATTAATTTATTTCTCTTTACGCTATAGTCCCACAACTTTTGTTGCCATTTGTTATGTTTAACTCAATCGTCAAAGTAAAAACTATATCAATTATAGCTCTTTCTTTCCCCAAATGATAATTTTGAATATCCAAATCGTTGTATTGATATAGAAGCTCCAATTGATATCCTTTACATATTGATAGGATTTTGTTTCGTTCTCGTTCAAAATAATCAATGAACATTGAGCTCTTTCTTTTTAAATAATAATCTGGTAGTGTAAGAATAGGGATAAAGCAGAAACTGAATTCCAGAACTGACTAACCTGCCTTTTGGAACTAATCAAAGCATCAATTCTATGATTCTATCTAAAGTAAATTTTGTCATGAGCTATGTAACAGTACGCGCAGCTCTTGATGCGAGGAAGATGGGGAAGAAATTTAGAATATGATAAGCTTTAAATTTTTTTAGGAATTGTTTTCTTGAGTTTAATCATACCCAGTCTTCGCATTGGGGTCAAAGTGTGGGAACTATAATTTAGAGAAACAACCAAGGGGAAAAGAACAGAGCACAAACTACGGTTCAAGCTCAACGTCTATATTATCTTTGTCCAAGCAATCAAACTGCCTCCTTCATCAAACGAGACAAGCCTTCATCACTTTGCATCTCTTGTGTATCCATAATTCATATATTGTAGCCTATACCACATATGCTCTGTTTTTCAATACAGAGACAGAGACCTTTTATCCATTTCAAAAGACAAGGAGGAAGACCCATTTCTTCAAAGCAAGCAAACCTACTGCAATTTTCGAATCCAGCTTATTAGCCGCTAGCAACCATATGGAGATAAGCCTTACAATTTTAGGTATCGACACACTCATTGTTGGATTCTTAGCATCAATAACTAGTTCTTGCGGCATGAGAATCATATCGTCACAGTCACGGTTTTTACTTTTTACTGGAGGATAGGGTACAGAAAAGACGTTGTTTATGGATAGGTGCTATATTTTAGTATCACTGTTTTGTTACAAAGAGTCTCTGATGGGGATAATCAAAGGTTTCTCGATCGCTGATGGCTGCCGATGGGATCCGATCTGGATTGTGGAACTGTGAGATACGGTAATAGGAAAACAGTAATCAAACTCAACTACCCACTGATGAGGACGAAACTAGGGACTTTTTGGTTAACAGGAGTGGAATTGGTGGTGAGGAAGCGACCCAATTGAATCGAGAAAGCAATCGTAATTTAAGAACATGTCTGTTTTGAGTATTGAATGATGGATCAAGTGGCATGGAATTAGTTAAACTGGGTTTGTGGTTATGACGAGGAAACAAATGCTCCGCCCATTTGAACCTTCTATGATTTGGCCCCTATTGGTGTATATATAGTTCGATCATGCTACGAGAGATGGTTGGCTCCGTTTATAAGTAAAAAACTTTTGTGGGACTTATATGGTATAAATAATAAATTAATGAATGTAGTCGTGATTATAATTTTTATTGATAATAATTTAATCGTAATTAATTAATAAGTGTACACAGACGTACAATGTACACCAGTTGTACGCTAGCCTGGACCCCATATATATATATATATATATATATATATATTACAATGAATATAGTACATAAAAAGAGCAGAAATGTCCATTTTTTTAAAAAAAAGAGTGCATGCTTATTTATAATCAAGCAGCATCAGATTGAATAATGAGAAAAACTATACTCATTCATTATCCATAATATCCAAGATAGAGTTTGAGACTTTGAGTAGTTCATACAATTCGAATTTCACCTCCGAATAAGTACGAACATGTTTGTGGATAATATATCACACTGAGACACGGACTTTCTAGTGGAGACATCAGATAATATTGGGTAACCGAGCAACCGGAATACACACAAGGTCATGAGCTCTCGGAACCGTCAACCCGGGACGTTCATCCATACTAACCAAACCGGCATCGCCGCCGTCGACGCCTTTAACCTTCCAGTCAAAGCACTGAATCATGGCCGCCAGCACCGTGGGCAGCTGCCGCAGCGCCAGCGGCATCCCGGGGCAGCTCCTCCTCCCGCTGCCAAACGGCAGCAGCTGGAAGTGCTGCCCCGTGATGTCCACGTCGGACCGGACGAACCGGTCGGGCCAGAACTCGAGAGTGCGGTCGGGCCAGTTGTTGGGGTCCCTGCCAATCGACCACATGTTGACGAAGAGCAAGGTCTCGGTGGGGATTGTGTAGCCGTTGACATGGCACTCTCGGCTCGATTTTCGAGCAATCATGGGTATGGTTGGGTGGAGCCGAAACGTTTCTTTTATGATGGCTTGCACGTATGGGAGATTGGGAGCGTCGGATTCCTGGACCAGCCGGTCGGAGCCCACGACCCGGTCGATCTCTTGCCTTGCCTTTGTGAGTAGCTGGGGATGGTTGATGAGCTCCGCCAGCGACCAATCTAGTGTTGCCGCCGTTGTGTCCGTACCTGCCGTGAAGAAGTCCTAGTAATAAACACAAACAAGAAGAAGAAAAAATTCAGTGAACCTTCTACTATACTCTTAAGTATTGGTGGTTTGTGATACGAATTGAATTTGTACCTCAACGTTATGGTACAATGTCGTTTGTACTTACATAAAGATACAAATTCAGTTTGTACCGTAAAAGAATTTTTATTAAAATGTATAGGTATGAACTAAATTTGTATTGACTACTTTTTTAAAATTAAAACATCGATGGAAAGCATTCTAAAATGTATATCGCTATATGACATTCGATCGTTTCATTTGATGTGAAAAGCAAATAGATGATATGAAAAATATGGAGATGCATAAAATCAATGGACTGATTACGATCTTTACCAAATGAACTCTTAATTTCTTCCATGAACAGACAATTTTTTTTTCTTCCTTAGTTGAAACAAGCTGTAGTAGGGATGGCAATGGGGCGGGTTTGCCTACACCATCCCCATCCCCATCTTCAAATACCCAAACCCATACCCGCCCCATACCCATGCGGGGAAATATTTTGCAAACCCATCCCCATACCCGTGGGTTTCGGGTACCCATGGGTATAACCCGTACATCCAACATTATTATACCTAAAACTTACCAAAAAAGTTTTAATTATAACTCTAAACGAACATATTATATCATGAAGTCAACAAAACACAGTCATTTTTTTAATATGGTTCAAAGAATACGATCTTAAAATATCCACTAATACATAATATAGAGTATAATGTTTTTCAAATTATTATGTTCTAACTCTGATACATCTAATAAGTAATAATTAACTAACATAATCTTGTTGACAAGGGGAACGTGAAAGAGTGAAATGAGAATTGAGGGAAATGAGTTAGATTTTGATTAAGATAGTCACTCAATTGCATTTCTACTATTTATTTTCTCAAGTTATCCTCATCGTCATTGATAGATTATAATTTGATGCACATATTTTTTTTTATATGAAGAAATTCTCTTGGTGGGGCGGGTATGGGTATGGGTATGGGGCGGGGGAAGCTAAAACCAAATCCGCCCCATACCCATCAAATTTTTTGCGGGTTTTACCCATACCCGCCCCATACCCAATCAAAACGGGAATTCCCCGCGTTAACTGGGTCGGGGGCGGTCGGATACCCACGATCATGGGTTTGACTGCCATATCTAAGCTGTAGACACTTACCAAAACCAAAGCCTTAATATGGTCCCTGGTTAATTCAATTTCAGCACCGTCGTCTTCCATAACATCCAGCAAAACGTCGAGAAAATCCTTCACCTTGTCGTCTTCATCACCAGCTTCATTTCGCGTGCTCTCCTCCTTCCTCGCCTGCTCTCGACTCCCAATTATGCTTTCTAACAGTTCATCATATCTAATTGGAGCCATGAAATAAATTCCTTTTTTCCCAAAAATAAATAATAATAATAATAATAATAATAATAATAATAATAATAATAATAATAATAATAATAACAATAATAATGTGCACTGCTTTCATTTGACCTAACCTTCTGTGTATGTCGTGGGATCTCCTCTTGAAGCCCTGAATGTCAAACTTCCTTAAACACCACACGAAATCCGACACGTTGAATTCTCCGAATATCTGGGAGACCTCGCGAATCACCTGCCGCGCCACGTCAGCATGCCCACCGCCCGTCTCGGACCCCAGCATCATCCGCGAGATGACGTTGTTGGAGTACGTCATAAGCTCCTCCGTGACGTTCACGCGCTCCGTCCCGCCGCGCGACCTCTCCCTGACCGCGGCCATGAACCGCCGCAGCTCCGCGGCCCTGACGCCGAGCTGCCGACGGAGCATCCTGGGGGACAGCAGCTCGGAGGCGCTGAGCTTCTTGACGAACTTCCAGTAGGCGCCGTGAGGGGCGAAGGCGAAGGAGGAGTTCGTGTAGGTCACGCGGCGGACGGCGATGGTCTGCTTCCGGTTGGAGAAGGTGAGGTCGTGGGTGCGGAGGACCTCCCTGGCGGCGTCCGGGGTCGAAACGACGACGCACTGGACGGAGCCGAGCCGTAGGTGGAGCAGTGGAGCGGCGGCGGAGAGGCGGTGGAAGGATCGGTGGATGGATGGGCCGAGGAGGTGGAGGTGGCCGATGATGGGCAGAGCGGCCCATGGGCTTGGTGGAAGCTTATTGTGCAGTCGTGAGCTGCTAGTTGTTGTTTTTCTGTTGAGGAAGGAGACGATGAGGATGGTGAGGGAGACGAGAAAGAGTAGTACTACTTCTATCATCGCCATTGGACTATTGGAGGTGTGTGTTGTCTATGGCGATTCACGGAGGAAACTTAGGGCAATGTGTGTGTATATATACAATTAGTGGTCTGTTCTCGACCGTAACATTAATTCACCAATCATCAAAAAAAAAAAAAAAACATTAATTCACCTGGTTAGGTGAAATTGGAGCTCGGAATTTAGTATCCGGTACAAGAGGGAGGTGTCTAAGGTTTAATAAAAGGGGACCACTCCGTACCAAAAAAAAAATAGCCGGTTGACATCACCGGACCACCGCCAGGTCCGCCACTACCGGCTGCCAGCCTGCCACCATTAATTACCGGCCGCTATCCTCTCCACGAACCCACTCTGCCACCGAAAATATTTGTTAAAACTTAAAAGCAGTCATATAATATGGAGTAGAGGGTCACCGCGAAAGCGAGGATGACAATGATAGCGGGATGTGCTGCTAGAGGAGAACGACGACAACAGAACGGAAGCGACGGAGTTGGGTGGTTGCAACGGAGGACGGCGGCGGCATATTAGTTTTCTTCTGGCCGAGGAGATTATGCAATTTTCATTTTTTTCTTGGACAGATATGTAATTTTTACTTTTAAATTAGGGCGATAATAGTAAAACTAGGGCGACGTTTAGCAATTCAGTTAATAAAATCCGACGATGACTGCGATTGATTTAATTTCAGCAAACTGGGTAAGACTTAATCATTAATTAATTAACTAGAAGTTATAAATACTATTTCATAGAATCACATCACGTTTCACAAATGGTGCTATTTTTTTAATTAATAAAAGTTTTGAGAAGTTTTTTGCCATTATAGGAGTTTTTTTTGCCATTAGGATTAAGGTTCTAATTAATTTACTTATGATAATTGAACACAAATTCAAAACAAATCAGTAGGTATTCCGCGTAATTCGAATCAATTAAAGCGAGTTGAATTCGGTGTTGACGAATTTTTTGTCGACAATGAGTTTTTGTGCCATTAAGGTACAATTGAACCCAAATTCAAGCGAAAACAATGGGAAGCGAGTTGAACCCGTTATTGACGAATTTTCCCAGTTTTGCACGCTTAAATCAGTGGGTATTCGACCTAATTCGACCCGATTAGAGCGAGTTGAACTCGGTGTTAACGAATTTTGAGTCGAGTACGAGTTTTACATGCTTTAGCTAATTAATTAACTTATAACAATTGTACCCAAATTCAAATAGATCAATAGGTAGAGAGTTGAACCCAGTGTTGACGAATTTTGGGTCCACAACGAGTTTTACACGCTTATATCAATGTCGGTCCGTTTAAAGCAAGTTGTACCCGGGTATTCGGCCTAATTTGACCCAATTAGAGCGCGTTTAACTCAATGTTAATTAATTTTTGGTCGAGGACGAGTTTTACATGCTTTACCTAATTAATTAACTGATAGCAACCATACTCAAATTCAACCCAAATCAATAGGTATTTGACCTAATTCGACCCGGTAAAAGCGAGTTGAACCTAGTGTTGACGAATTTTGGGTCGACAACGAGTTTTACACGCTTAAATCAATGGGTATTCGACCTAATGTCGAGTCGGTCAAAGTGAGTTTAACCTGGTGTTGACAAGTTTTTGGTCGACAACAAGTTTTACAAGTTTAAATCAATGGGTATTCGACCTAATTTGATCTAGTTAGAGCGAGTTGAACTCGATGTTCACGAATTTTGGGTCGGGGACGAGTTTTACATGCTTTACCTAATTAATTAACTTATAACAATTGTACCCAAATTCAACTAGATCAATGGGTAGCGAGTTGAACCCAGTGTTGACGAATTTTGCGTCCTCAACGAGTTTTACACGCTTATATCAATGTCGGTCCGTTTAAAGCAAGTTGAACCCGGGTATTCGGCCTAATTTGACCCAATTAGAGCGCGTTAACTCAATGTTAATGAATTTTGGGTCGAGGACGAGTTTTACATGCTTTACCTAATTAATTAACTGATAACAACCGTACTCTAATTCAACCCAAATCAATAGGTATTTGACCTAATTCGACCCGGTAAAAGCGAGTTGAACCATGTGTTGACGAATTTTGGGTCGACAACGAGTTTTACACGCCTAAATCAATGGGTATTCGACCTAATGTCGAGTCGGTCAAAGTGAGTTTAACCTGGTGTTGACAATTTTTTGGTCGACAACAAGTTTTACAAGTTTAAATCAATGGGTATTCGACCTAATTTGATCTAGTTAGAGCGAGTTGAACTCGATGTTCACGAATTTTGGGTCGGGGACGAGTTTTACATGCTTTACCTAATTAATTAACTTATAACAATTGTACCCAAATTCAACTAGATCAATGGGTAGCGAGTTGAACCCAGTGTTGACGAATTTTGGGTCCTCAACGAGTTTTACACGCTTATATCAATGTCGGTCTGTTTAAAGCAAGTTGAACCCGGGTATTCGGCCTAATTTGACCCAATTAGAGCGCTTTTAACTCAATGTTAATGAATTTTGGGTCGAGGACGAGTTTTACATGCTTTACCTAATTAATTAACTGATAACAACCGTACTCTAATTCAACCCAAATCAATAGGTATTTGACCTAATTCGACCCGGTAAAAGCGAGTTGAACCATGTGTTTACGAATTTTGGGTCGACAACGAGTTTTACACGCTTAAATCAATGGGTATTCGACCTAATGTCGAGTCGGTCAAAGTGAGTTTAACCTAGTGTTGACAAGTTTTTGGTCGACAACAAGTTTTACAAGTTTAAATCAATGGGTATTCGACCTAATTTGATCTAGTTAGAGCGAGTTGAACTCGATGTTCACGAATTTTGGGTCGAGGACGAGTTTTACATGCTTTTGTAATTGTTCGGTTGGGTAATACACCCAAAAAGGGATGGTTTCGATTTCTAGAACTCAAGCTTGGAATTTCAAGCTTCGAAAACAGGATGGACTCCTCGGAAAACTCCCAAACAGTTTTGCCGAGTGAAAGAATGATGATGGACGGAAATTGTGTGCAATCCTACACATGGAGGTGTTGAGTAGTATGTATGGGCTTCGGCCCACTTTCCTAGTCACGGTTGATTAGTGTAAGTGACCTAGGGTTAGCCGAGTAAGTGACCTAGGGTTGAAGACCCTAGTTTGTATATATATGTATGTAAGTGAACCTGTTAAGGTCAAGCTGAATAAGAGGAAAACCTAGCTTCGGCCGTGGACTAGTCTCGTTCATACAGAACGAGGAAACCACGTAAATCTGTGTGTCAATTTCTATTCCTGTTTCGATTAACATGGTATCAGAGCCTATGACCTCTGATCAGATTACTGCTCGTCTCAACTCCAAGAACTATGCCATATGGGAGTTTCAGTTTCGAACGTTGATTGAAGGGAAAGGGCTTCTAGGTTGGCTCGATGGGACTATAGATCGGCCGGCTTCTCCTCCTGCCTCGGCCGATCAAGTACAATAGTGGGCCTTGAATGATGCTAAGGTTCGTATGCTTCTCCTCAATTCTGTTGATGCCACGATAATACATGGGCTTCGCATGCTTCCAACTGCTGCTGCAATGTGGCAATACTTGGCGGACACATACAAGACAGCTACTGCCTCTCGACAGTATGAAATTGAGGTGGAACTAGCTTCTCTCTATAAAGGCATAATGGATGTCACGTCTTACTACAATGCTGCGCGTAACTTGTGGACTGAGCAAGACCTCGTGATGCTCTCTCTTCTCTCCACTGCTGGTTTGGCGGAAGTTCGCCGCGAAAGAGAGAAGATTCGGCTGATGCAATTCTTGATGCGGCTGAATCGGGAGTTCGAACCCATCCGTGCTTCCTTGCTGAATAGAGAGAACTTGAAGGCTGAAGGGGTTCGTAGCGCTTTGATCCAGGAGGAAACGAGGTTGCGAACCCAGGCGGCAATTGACATCCGACCCGGCACCGGCGACGGGGCTGCTGTCTTTAGCGCCACGCACAGCTCGCCACCGCAGGCTTCTTCAGGTGGAGGCAGCCATCATTCCTCTACGTCGCGGGACCAGGCTAAGCAGCTAGGAGACTCGGCCTATGCAGCGTATAAGCCCTCCTTCCAGCGCCGAGTTTCAGCTGCCGATGTCGAATGTTTCCATTTCCATGAAAAGGGGCATACGAAAAAGTACTGCAAGAAAAGGAATTTTTGTCACTACTGTAAAAAGGCTGGACATATAATTTTAGCCTGTCCTGCGTTGGAGGGCCGATTCCGCGAAGAAGAGGGACGCGGGAATGGTCGATCTCGTGAGGATGAGGGTCGCGGAAATGGAGCTGCATCTCGGGGAGGCTCTTCTGCGCCACGTTCTGCATATGCTGCGCAGGTTATTGGTGATGCTTCTGGCTCTCAAGGCATGCTGGTGACTCCCGCAGCTCTTGAGCAAATGGTAAACACGGCCATTTCTACCGCTTTTGCAAGTCTTCAAGCTTCCGGTAAGATTCCTCACTGGATACTTGATTCTGCGTGTTTCAATCATATGACTGGTGATAGTTCTACGCTTGAGAAATTACGACCTTTGAATGATCTATCTTTTCAAGTTGCTAACGGTGAGAAGTTAAGTGTAGCAGGCATGTGCACAGTTCATAATTCTAATGTTGTCTTACCGTCTACATATCATGTGCCGAAGTTGGTGCCTAGTTTGGTTTCTGTAGGTCAACTTACTGACTAGGGATATTGTGTTACTTTTGCGCCTTCTGGCTGTGTTATTCAGGATCAGAAGACAGGGAGGGAGATTGGTAGGGGCAGTAAGACAAGGCACTTTTTTGTTCTTGACCAGTTGCGTCCCCCATCATCATTGTCATCACCAGCCACCTTCTTTCCTATAGTGTTCTTGAGTCTTCCCGATAAAAACTTTCATTTATAGCATGCTCGGTTAGGTCATCCAAACTCTAGTAGACTTATGACAATGTTTAAACAGCAGTTATTTGGGGAGAACACCCTTGGTCAGTGTTCGTCGGATTTTTCATGTACTAGTTGCATTGAGGCTAAGACTACGAGAATCTCTTTTCCTTCTAGTCTGACCATTATTTCTGAGCCTTTTGATTTGATACACACTGATCTTTGGGGGCCTAGTCCTACGACTTCTTGAATGGGTTATAAATATTTTGCCATGTTCATTGATCATGCTACGAGGTATACATGGGTGTACTTTCTTCGACTTAAGTATGATCTCTTGACTGTTGCCACCGAGTTTCTTGCTATGATTAAAACCCAGTTTGGTAGAACTGTTCGTGTAGTCCGTTCTGATCCCGGAGGGGAGTTTAGTTCAGGTCCTTTGTTACAACTTTATCGTGATATGGGGATTTTGTCTCAAAAATCTTGTCCTGGGGTGTCTCAACAAAATGGTGTCGTTGAAAGGAAAAATCGTCATGTGTTAGAAGTCACCCGTGCTCTTCTGCTTTCCTCCTATGTCCCATCGTCTTTTTGGCCTGAAACTGTTGCTACTGCTGTGCGTCTTATCAATTATCAGATTACACCAGTTCTAAACCAAACTAGTCCTTACTTCCGCCTATTTTCCAAACCCCCACCATATTCCCGTCTTCGCGTCTTTGGGTGCGTCTGTTTTGTTCTTCTCCCTCGATCTGAATGCACTAAACTTACTTCTAAAACTGCCCGTTGTTGTTTCCTTGGCTATAGTGACGTTCATAAAGGCTACATTTGTTATGATCCCTCCTCCCATCGTGTTCGTATTGCCTGTCATGTTGTGTTTCTTGAGAATTTGATGTACCATTCGTCTTCCTCCGTGTCCACCGACCCTCCCTTGTTCAACCTTTCCCTTGCTCCGCCCTCTTTTGGTGATGATGATGATGGATACCTTAATGATGAAGCCCCCGAGATGCCCCCCGACTCCCCTCCTTCGCCCGCGCCCTCGACTTCCAGCTCGTCCGCCGAGTCATCGTCTGCCTCACCTTCGCCCTCTCCACCTCCAGTGGAATCACTTCGACGCTCACTTCGCACCACCCGAGGTGTTCCACCGGTACGTTATCTGGATTATATGGCCTTAAGTGTTGATCCCATTTTCGCTCCTACTCGTTACTCACAAGCTAAAGGGAATCCGGATTGGGATAATTCTATGACGGAGGAAATTTATGCTCTCCATGCTAATCATACATGGGATATGGTCCCTCGGCCTCCTCTTTCTGTTCCAGTTATTGGTTCTCGGTGGGTCTATACCATTAAAGTCCGACCGGATGGCTCCATTGAGCGGTTCAAATCTAGGGTGGTGGCTCAGGGTTTTTGTCAGGAATATGGGATTGATTTTGAGGAGACCTTCGCCCCAGTGGCGAAGATGGTCACAGTTCGTGCTCTCTTGACTGTGGCATCTATTCGTGGTTGGCCCTTATTTCAGCTTGATGTTAAGAATGCATTTCTGCATGGGGAGCTTAAAGAGACTGTCTATATGGAACCACCTCCTGGTTATACCTTCGGTGAGCCAGGCCAGGTGTGCTTACTTCGTCGTTCACTCTATGGTCTGAAACAGGCTCCTCGGGCGTGGTTTGACAAGTTTCATTCCACTATTCTCGCTCTCGGTTTTGAGCAGAGTCTTAATGATCCCTCTATGTTTACACGTAGTTCTTCTCGTGGGCTTGTGGTGCTCTTATTGTATGTCGATGACATGATCGTCACTGGTGATGATGCCTTGGGGATTGCTGAACTTACCAAAGGGCTTCATGCTTCATTTAGTCTTAAGGAGCTTGGGTATGTTTCTTACTTTCTGGGACTTGAGGTTAAACGCAGTAGCGCTGGGATTCTCTTATGTCAGCGTAAGTACATTGATGACTTATTGGCCTCTTCTCGGTTTGGTGAGTGCTCCGCTGTTTCTACTCCCATGGAGCTCGGTTTGAAGCTCGGAAGCGAGTCTGGTGATCTTCAACAACAACTTATAAACTCTTGAAGGTGAGTTACTTCTTAAAAAGAACTTTTTCTTAACTTCAACAACAACTTATAAACTTAAAGATTTAAATTAAATAATAACTCATGCACATTCACATCAAACATAGCTCAAACAAAATCACATATCATCAAAGTAATCATGCAATCTCAAACATGAATCATATAAACACACAAAGACAAGTATAGCACCTAGCACTCGATCTCAAAAAGCTGAAATACCGTAAGGCGTAGAATTTACCCCCTTTACACTCACCTTATTCTCGATCAACCTAGCTTGAATTTACCACGTCCAAGTGTCAATCGACATTGCCTGGCCATGATGTTGATGCCACCGGTTATGGACGCCATCTCTTCCTAAAGCCAAGTTATGTTCAATAATCCCAGGGGCTTTCACTTTGACACGTCTTCGCTCGTGATCGCTTAGAGCCCCTCTTCCATCAATAGGTACTCCCAACCCGTCGACCACACGCCCTAGCATAGCCTTTTCCGCAGGAACATCCACAATAGATCTAGTGCGCTTGACAAGATCCCCTTCTTTAATAGCGGTATCACTACCAAAGACAACAATCCCTACATTCTCATTCTCAAGATTCAACGCTATTCCTTTCACACCGGTGGCAAATTCCACCATTTCCCCAGCTTGAATCTCGTTCAATAAACAAATATGTAGTTCATTTAACTACCAAACCAAATACCTCCCCCACACTAAATCAATGTTCACCCTGATTGCATGCACAATAATCCAATACGTTAGCCTTTACAAACCTAGCCATCACATCCTTACTACCCTGATTAAGCCGATTAATAAAGCAACCGGTTCTCCATTTCAACGTATAATCACCATCACCGCCTCACTTAGATTCCTTCGATTAATCATATTTAACAAGATTGAGGTAATTACCGTGGCCTTGCTCACCTAGGTTCCATATCCAAGCAAACCCAGCCTTCTCCGATCCATATAACGTCGAGCCTCACAACCAGTACTGAAGCTCGACTACCCTTCCTCGGCATGTCTGCACAAGTCCTGATCTTCAGGTCAGCTCGCCCTCTGGATACGCCTGTCGTTGTTCGGGTTGACGTTCTCCCGCCACACCATGGTTGGCATCGCATCGTTCGCTACGGTAGTCGTCGGCGGTCATGTAATGGTGGATGCCGGCTCTGCTCACATCGTTCGTCGATCGCCATCATCGGTGCAACTGATCGGTGCTTGGCAATCTCGGTTGCTTGGTTCTCTTTATTTTTGTTCATCTCGACTTCCATGTTGTAGCCGCCCCCAGCGAGAGATGATCAGGGAACCAGGGGCATTGGATTAGAAAAACTTAGGGTTTCTTAATTAGTGAATAGGGACGGGTTATGGGCAAAGTACCATGAGGGCCGAGCGCCCTCCTAGCAGTTTCTCTTTTTTTTTTAAATAATAATAATAATTATTATTATTATTATTCATAATCCACGGTTCCAATCCTTAGTACGTAACCGTTAATTCAACCGTTCACGTATTTTGGTCGAACCTGAACCCAAAGTCGGGGTGTTACATAGGGTTAGCCGAGTAAGTGACCTAGGGTTGAAGACCCTAGTTTGTATATATATGTATGTAAGTGAACCTGTTAAGGTCAAGTTGAATAAGAGGAAAACCTAGCTTCGGTCGTGGACTAGTCTCGTTCATACAGAACGAGGAAACCACGTAAATCTGTGTGTCGATTTCTATTCCTGTTTCGATTAACAGGAGGAAGGCTCAACTATTATAAGTCGCTACTCGCCTACGATCAATGTGATTTTTCGATACAGAGCTCAAACCGAGATTGGTTTTCTCGGCCAAACTCTCCCGAAAAACAAGGCACGAAGAACTCTGTTTTAGGGTTTAATCTTAATCAATCATAATCCGTCTTTTACCAGACCCTTCATGTGAAGTAACATACGTAATCTCATGTGGTATGAAGCTCCTGACTCGATTCTCAACACTCTTCTTCGAATGGAGCTCTAAAGTAGGCTACACAATCACGTTTCTAGACTTCGCTATTTTCATGCAGTTTCTCGGTTTTAGCCGAGGCTTTTGAACAGCTTTGAAAATGAATTTTCTAACTTCTCCTCAATCACCCACACATTCCAACTTGTAGAGGGATACTCCAGCTTCAAAACAAACCCTTAATCTCGAATTTTCATCGACCCATTTGAGAGAACCAGACTAGCAAAGTAGGCCAACTGAAACAGTCATAACACTTAGCCAAAAATCAGGTTTATTAATATGAGTTGAGATAACTTTTTTTGCAAGTAATTCCAATGAACAATCTAGGATTGTATCATTGGGTCAGTGTGACTTTGTTAAAAACTCACCCTACTTGCCTTTGCTAACATTTTAGATTTTCATTATTATGTTTTCTTTTTATTATTAACACCAGTTTGACAAGTTTTCCATCCATAATAAGGTTTACACATATTTCTAATTTACGAGATTGGAATGGGTGTAGATTTTGTTGAGCGAGTTGAACCCGATGTTGACGGGATTTGTTTCGAGATAGGTTTTTATACTTTTCTAATTGATGGGATTGATTCTGTTTTTCTATCTTCCCAAATGTTGCCAACATTGTCTAAAGTGTTATTTCATAGAGATGACCATTTCGTAACTGAAGGAAACTTGAAGGATCTTTTTGGTAGTTTTTTTATTGCTTTTTCTTCTTCCTCTATTCTGAGCCACACGAATCCTTCTCTCTCTACTTCTCCTCTTTCACCTCTCTCTTATCTTTTCCCACCATCCACCCTCCCTGTCACATGAAGGAGGAAGGAAAAAAATAAATAACAACCCACATCTCTCATGAAGAAGGAATGAGAATGCAAATGACCAACGAGTCTGTAGAGGAGTCCCAGTATTGACGATCGCGATCGCAAGGTCAAGGCAACAATTTAGGGGTTCAACGTCGACAACATCGAGCATAGGCGATTGGCGAGAGCACAACGATGATGGGACGGTGGCGAAATGATGATGGCGGCGATGGAGATGGTAGTGAGGCACTGCGATGGAGATGGTAGTGATGCATTGCGATGCCCTGAAGCTAGCTGGCGTCGACAGATCAACGACGAAGCCTGGTGCGGATGGAGGCCTGGCGATGGTTCTGCTGAGCCATTGTTTTATCAATTGATTCACCGAGCTTAAAGCCACGCCGGGGATGAGCTTGCGTATGGGATACAGGTTGTCTGTCGACTGATTAGTTGAAGAGTGAGTTTCGAGCTTCTTTTTCATTTTTTGCTTAACTTTAGGGTTTTGACTTCTGCTGAACCGTTGTTTTCTCAATGTATTCATCAAACTTAAAGCCACATCGGGAATGAGTTTGCTATGGGATACAGGTTGTCTGTTGTTTGTTGGCGGATTGGTTAGATGGTGAGTTTCCATCCTCTGTTTGGGAGACCAGAATCACTGGTTTATGGGAAAGAAACTGAAGAATAGGAAGAAGTAGAAGAGCTATTCTCTTCTCTATTTTCCAATGTCGCGTCGGCTGTTGTGACTTCCTTCCTTTATCTGCTTTTCCATTGTGTTCATTTTCCCATTATTTGCCAATGTTGTGTTTGTTTTTACAATTTCAGTTATGTTTTTCTTTTGTTCTTAAGTTTTTTGTTTCTTCTTTTGCTTTAATATGTGTTTGGCTATTTCTGTTTGGGTAGTAAAGGATGTTGGATGCGAAGACACCTTCGTTTGAACTCTCAATTGTGTCCTGAAGGAGCTTGTCGGTTTGCCATTGATTTTGATGGTAACTTCTTGTGGATGAGTTTTTTTGATGCTCATGAGTTTTAAAACTCATATTTCACCTTTGATTTTGCTTTTTTGCATGTTTGGTGTGATAAATGTTTTGGCTTTCATGTTTCTTTTGCGCTCCAGCTTTTAAGCAAAGTGTTTGATGCCTATGGTTGGTTTTAGAAGCTATTTATCTACGGACGATGTATGTTCGAGGCTGAAGGCTTTCTTTTTTTATTTGTTTCTTGATCCAACAATCTCACTATCTCAGGACTGATGTTCTCCTCCCAACTGATTTATCCCTTTGTTGAAGAATGGCAGTTTCAGGAACTATCATTTAACATGGACCAGTAAGTAGATTATGTTTATAGATTGTTGGCTAATTTAGTTATCGCTTGATGTTATGTTAAAGAATATCGAATGCACACAGTTACAGTTTTTTATTTTTAACTTTGCTTGGCATCTTTAGGAATCAAGACCAACATAATTGACATATAATAGAGTCATTTCCTTCTCATGGAAAAGGTGAACGAGATTTCCTTCTTTTGATCTAGTTTCTGGTGGTTAGTGAGTTAAGAGTTTATTTTATGTCTTTCTTTCAAAGGTTGGTTGTTGTTCTTTTACGTCTTTTAATGTTGTTTCCAAGCTTCAATCAAGTAGAAGTTATGTGATTTTTATTGTATTCCGGGAACAGCAAGAAAAGTAAATCTTGATTTTTTTTTTGTATATTAAAGTGTTTCTTGTTCATAATATCATAAAAGACGGGTGATCTCGTTTGAACATGAATCGTATGCTCGGAATGAGGATTATGAGGCGAGTGCATTGAATGCACCCAAAAAAGTGGGTGCAAACCGAATACGCCACCATATATATATATATATAGGTGACCACTTCGGTGCACTCACAAAAATGAGTGCGTTCAATCCACCCAACTCAAAAACTAGTCTTAAGGTGTCAGATTTTGAATTTTAATTTGTAGAATTAGTGTAATATGATGATATAACATATGCTAACAACTAATTAGCGAATTATCCTAAGCCCTAGACCTCCAATTTTGAGTTCTATCCCTAATCCCCAAATTGTAAACCCTAACCCTAACCCTAAATCTCTTAACTCTAAATCCTTCAAATTAAAGTAAATCTTTAATGGTTTTTGTGCAAATTCATGTGCGTTATTGTAGACACCACATTTTGTCCGGGGTAATCGTTCTACTAAAAAAACAACTCGATGTAACATTGCTTTACAATTATATTTGGAAAGATAACTTGAAGTGAATTGGTTGAGACTAGCAGTAGCAAGTCGATATGAACCAATGATTATCAATTATTGTTCTACGCATTGAGATTAGGAATTTAGTATGCTTCCTGTTTTGGATGTTGATACAAATTACAATATATAGAGCACGAATCAGTAAAGACTAAAATAAACTTTGCTAATTGATTTCTTACATCGTAATTTGCATCGACATTGAAGGAAAATGTAATTACATGGGCCATTACAAATTCTACATGTACAAAGAAAGACTAGTTCTTTTCTTCAGCCCCTCATTTTAGGCCCAGCCCTGGAGACCTGGAACATAAGAGAAAACCAGTCAGATCAAGGCCTGATTCCAAGCCCAGAGCTCGGCCCAACAAACATCCAAGCCCAAACGAAGGCCAAGTCGGCCCAAAATACAGGCCCACAGCTCTGCCATTTCAGCTTAAAACTGTGTGCTAACTGCCAACCCTATCCTGACCAGGCAGAACCGACCAACTGTGTTGGAGGCCTCACAATGGGCCTCAAAATCGACCAATGAAGAAAAGACACGCGGGACAGCTTTTTTGCTATAAATGAGCTCTTGGGGCTCTTTGTTTTAGGGGGGGAGGAGGAGAAAAACAGAAAAAAAAAAATAGAAACATACACATTGCAAAGGTATCGTCTTTTTGTTCCTGCCCTTAGCCAAAGTTCAGTGGAAGTTCAGTGGGGAAAATGTGAAATTGAAGGAGCAGATTTGAAGATCGTTGTAGGGAAAGGCCATTCTTAGGCCTTGATCCAGGTTGGTACTTGTATCGACTTCATTTTATCAAATTTACACAATCGTTATGACATCAAATTTACACAATCGTTATGACGTTATACAATCATCCATCTATTTGCATATTTATACTCACGATTATTTTCCAATACAAGCTATGTGATGGTCAAATATTATTTATCAAGATCTACTCTTATCAATTTCATTAAACTCTATCATTAAATTTTTTTTTCCTTCTCATATTAATAGTTTGGGCTATGAGATTACTATTATACCGATTAACTTAATTATGACTAGAGAGTTGGATGTTTTGTTTTAAACTCTTTTTGCCATGTTTAGATGTTCCTCGTTCGTAGCCATACATACATATACATGTACAGATTAAAGTAAAACAAGATATAGTACATAGTTTTTTTTATATAACAATCAAAACAAACTTTTCCTAAGTCCTTGGATCAACCTGGATCCAAATCCAACAAAAATCAATCAAGCACAATAAATTCCAGAGTTTGAAACCCATACCAATTTCGCAAAATCACAGGCAGTGACGGTGATTTATAATAGCCAAAATAAGCAATTTAGTCTATGTTAATTAGATTAAAAATCATTTTAGCAACTTCTAATATATCAAAACTACATCCGAATCCATTCATCAAACCCATCAAAGCACCAAAATCCCATTTTCTTCAAAACTCATTCACAAAACTTACTTTCTAATACTCAAATCTGCTAATCAATCCCAAATCAACAATAATAATCCGTTTACTTAGTTAAATCATCCCTAGTCATACCAAAACCGAAGTTAGAAGAGCCTTACCCAGATCTGGATTTATTTTTCAAACCTACCAAAAAGGAACGAACTAAATTAATTATTTTTGTTAATAATAAAAATGATAGATTAACATATATTAAGGAGCCGAAATCCTACCTTTCTTTTTTGGAGACGAAGATCGTCATCGGCAGGATCTCGCAGCCGACGACATCCAAAACACAAGAAAATGAAATAAATATTAGTCGAATCCCAAATAAAATCACCTAAAACGAATTGAAAAGACTTTGCATGTCAAGAATCTTACCTAGTTCGTCTATTTCCGATCGAAATAGGGAGGTTATAGTCATCCTTTTGCCTGATTCCAAAAAGGAGTCTATCCTCATCTTCTGCCTTTTTCTTCCTCCTCACTGAACCAAAACCCATAAAAAAAAATAATCAGAAAACGAAGGTCAGAAACAAATTCAAACCAACAAAATCGTCAAATAAAACCACATGCATGTTAAAACCTTACCTAATTCGGGCTTCCATTAGGAGATTGGTTGTGGACCGAGCTGTTTTCTCGCGGCCAGTAATGAGAGAAGAGGATTGAGGTAGGATTAAGAGTCAGGGTTTTGATTTAGAGTAAACCCAGAGGGTTTCGGCAGAGAAAAACAAGAGGAAGAGAAAAGAGATATCAGCGGTCGAGAGGGAAGAGCGAAGAGCAGAGGAAGAAGCAGATTCGAGATGGGGAAGGGCGTCGTTTTCTTTTGGTGTTCGGCAGCTAGGGTTTTCGGGTTTCTAAAGGCGAGAGGAGGAACGAGAGAGAGAGAGAAGATGTTTTTTTTTGTTCTCTGGAGAAGAAAGGAGTCGAGTGAGAGAGGAGAGAGAGAGCAGAAGCGGCGACCGCTTTTGGTAAGGCTGAACTAGGGTTTTCTTTAGAGAGAGTTATATACTCCAATGGTTGTAAAGACCAAAATGCCCATAAGGTTTATCATTACTTACGCAGCCGTGCCACCGCATTTTTTTTTTTGCAATTACTAGAATGCCCTTCCCCCATCTCCACACTAAAACGAAAAAAATCAAAAAAATGCAGTCAGTTCGTTTCGAAAACGCGGTATTGGGGTCTGAGGAGACTAGCGGTTTGACCAGTTGGCCTGCCGACAATCATTTGTTAATTTAACCATCCAAATTAGCTTTATTTGTTTATAGTTCTTAATACGAAATGTTAAATGCGGATTAAGTTTATCCCGTTTCTTTTCCAATACGAGTCAAGCCTCTTCCTAATAACTTAAATTATTATATTATCTTTTCATAATTTCATAATAATTAAATTAAATTTTATTAACATCAATTATAATACAAAAATCACGATCAGTGGAACGTGATTACAATTAAATTATCAAAGTTCAAACGAACTACGTGGACTTTGATCCCGTCTAACGGGTACGTAGGCAACCGATAAGGTTCGAGTCCAACTAACCAATTAACTTTATCGTTTACGTCAGTGGACGTACAATTAAATTACAATTAATACGATTTAAATTTTTTTAATGGTCCAGTGGGACTCTAAAATTACAAAATTATTACTAAAATACACCCAACTCGCATAAAAACTTATCGACTTAAGTAGTACCGATTTAGGGCGTTGTGGGGGTGTTGCTTAACTTCCCCACACGTAACCGTACTCCCGAACCCAAAACTTTATTTTCGCAGACCATGCCTCGGTTCTGACACTAAGAGTAGAGCCGATTCGAAGAGTGTTCGATCCACTCCGAGTAAGGTCGATGGCCAAAAATGCCGACGCGACAACACATCGGACCCCCCGCAGGGACGGTTGCGACAGTTATTGTTCATCACATCATAAGTGATGATTGACATCATTTTGACATAAATCGCATGTTTAAAATGACGGTTATGAAGCGAGTGCATTGAATGCACCCAAAAAAGTGAGTGCACCGAAGACACCACCATATATATATATATATATATATATATATATATATATATATATATATGGCGAGTTCTATCGTACCCCGGGTAAATTCCGGGGTATGGCGTACCTTGACGATCTTAACCGTACGTGTGATCTCGACGGCTGAGATTAAATTTTATTAAATGATTTGTTTTTTCGGAATTTATATTAAATAAAATTACAGATCAACTCATAGAATTAGTTTTTCTTTCATTTTAGTCCTCTATGTCCGTGGGTTGGTTAGTTTGAGTTGGGTTGGGTTTTTTCAATATTTTGATTGAACCCAAATTCAACCACCCCAAAACATAAAGGGTACCTACCCCATCCAACCTACCAGCACTTCGTTCCCCCCATCCCGACCCTCTCTTCTCCGCTGCTACACGCCGATACCTTAATGCTCTATCCTCTTCCCCTGTTCCTCCGTCCTCCGCCGCTAGACGCCGCTAGCCCTCTCCCTACCCTTTCTAATCTCCCTTGTCGGCCCCAAATTCATCGCTCACCAACAACTTAGAATCTCCTTGCGGAAGGGATTTCGAATCCTTGCAACCAGAAGAAGAAGGAAGGGTTCTCCTCTGCTCGCTTTTTCTGGCGATTGGCGTTATGGCTTCTCGAACGAGTTGCAGAGACCTTCGTCGAAAGAAAAAGGGGTGACCTCCCCACCGGAGAGTCCTCCCACGACGACACAAATGGTCTTTGATGACCCCGACGCCATTAGCCTCGCTTCCAAGTTCCGTCACTAACAGATCAACGGCGGCGCCTCAATGTTCTATCATTGATGATGTCAAACCTTCCTGGGTCAAGTTCTGCGAATTTTGTTTATCACACATATTTGTGTTAAAACTAGATATGCCATACCCTCAAAATCAATAATAGGACCATGTTGTATCAGTATGCTATTATGGAAATTTTGGGAATTTATGTGGAGCAAAAAACTGAAGTTCGAATTTTAAAAAAAAAGAACTGAAATTTGAAATACGAACAGGAAGAAGACGATCGAAGTGAAGCGTCTGATCGTTTCTCAACCACTCACGAGATGGAATGTGGGCTAACATCATCACACTTATAGTTTCCATAAACTTAGCATACAAAACAAGAAACGTTGGCAAACTTAGTGGTTAAGCTAGTAGTTTACTATTAAGTTTGCTAGAATAGGTGTAGGGTTCGAATACTAGTTTCAACCATTATATTTAGTTTTTTTATAATTATTAGCGGTTTTATGTTTCTTCTTTGAAATCACTTGTTCATAGTAGATTACCCTCTCCTTGCTAGTCAAGTTTTTGGAAAAAATTTCATTTTTCTATTTAGAATTTTATTTTACAACTATTCATAAATAGTAATTCTACACGACATGTCATTTTTGTCACACACCACCGTTGTGCCCACCTCCACCTTGCAACTTTGCGTTAACCCAAAACTAGTACAAAGGACTAGTACATCCCAAAACAAACCTTTGCTAAACCACGTGAAAGGGCATTTGTAGGCTGTAGCGCAGTCTAGTGACTAAGTTTGAAATTCTGCCTTGACAAACTTATAAACGTGAAAGCTCCATGTTCCGAATGGTTCAATATTCTTCCTTGACACTGATGCGTGTAAAATGGATTGATAGAAGTTTGTCGGTTGAGGTTCAATATTCTGCCTTGACACGATTTCATATACTAAGACGCATGTAAAATAGTATATAACATTATAGTTGAAAAGTGAGACTTGACATCGATAGAAGTTTTACATTGATAGAAGTTTGTCGGTTGAGGTAGAATGTCTTGTTCCTTATAAATATATTTATATCAGGCACTAGCATGACATTGATACCTATGGCCAAGTCACGATGAGATTATGATAGATCAAGGAAGATCTTATGAGATTTTTGTCGGAGATGATCCTATCACGTGGAATAATTGTTCTTTGTCATTCTAGATGATCAGTGAAATTCGGTAGACAGCTAAAGTACCATAGGTTGTTTTGAGATCCTAATTATTTGTTCACTATCGATTCGGATTATTTGTTCTCTAAATAATCCGATTGATTAAAAAGGCCTCGTATTTTTTGGCCATTAAAAAGGCCTCATGTGAATTCGAACATGCCTTTTGTACCAGGCCCAATAAGGCCCTTAGCAATAGCAGATCGGCGGCACAACTAATTTTGGCCTTGGGCATTATTTTTATTCTCCCAACACAGATCAATTATGGCAAAGTTGAACAACTGAAAGCCCCCCCTACAAAATCAAGCAATCGATCCATATCCCTGCTTTTTCTTCCCCCCATGCGCAGGCTTGTCTGTTTTCCTTGAGAAAGAAAACTTAACCGCCCTCCTCCTTCCTTCGCTTCCGCCTCCCTTGCATGCAAGCCTCCCCCTCCGCCTCCGCCTCCGCCAGTCAATCCACCGCTGGTCGGCGGTCGCTCAATACCGGTCTCCACCTCCGAGCCACCATCGTCGCCTGCCACCGCCGCCGCTGATTCGCTCGAGGGGTTGTGGGAAGAAGAGCGGCAGAAAGTTCCCAGGACGAAAGGCAGGAGAAAGTTAGGGAGAGAGCAGCAAGGGTAGGGTTGTCGTCCGTTGACAGAAGAGCAGGCGAAGGAAAATCCTGTGGAAAAAAGGAATTCCAATCGTCGTCTTCCTTCCTTCCCGGACTAACAAGGAGTTGCCGCCGACCACGTTTCCACCGCCGCAGGTACATTTTTGTAAATGCTTTTTAACTATTTGGTACGGTGGATTAGAGTATCTGACGTAGTGTGTTGTTATACTCGTAGGTGTAATTTTCTTACAATGGATCGTGTATCTGAATGGTACCCGTAAGTATTGTTTACCAACTAATCCTTAGACTGTCTACTCCGCTTCTTTTTCGTATGGTCAGACATTAGTAACGGTTTTATTTGTAGGGATTTTATGGTTGAGCCTGGTTTCGTTGCAAACCTGCGGTATGAGGAAGCAGTAACTATGTCTGAATTTACGGAATCACTCAGTCTTATATTGTTGCAAGAGAATGTTGACGTTGAGGTTATTGAAATAATTTTTTTTTGTCATTCATCATTCTCGCTCTCGTTTGCACTTTTCTGTTTGTTAATGCTTGTTAATTTTTTTTTGAAAATCCATTTGTTGTTTTAAACACCAGGGCACTTCTTACCTCTTCTCTGGACGTGTCACCGAGTTGAGGACATCATGGTGTGCTGCATCTAGAGTTCATTTGATCCACTTAGTTATTGAGGATGACTATTTGGATGTTGAGGTTGTTTTCCCATCGGCAAACTTATGCAAAATCCTTTCAGATGTAGTAAGTGATGAAGACATGGCCAATGCCGATTTCGTTACCCTTGTCAACTTGCTTGGTGGAAACTCTTATGAGTTTATGGTCACATTGGGTCCTTGGAACCATGGGTATTTTGAGCTGTTATTGGTCAAACTATTCTTTCTCGTGGAAACTGAATACCATTACAGCAATGTCAATAGAAATCTACTAAATTTGCTTAGTGTCGGCCTTAATGCCATTTCTCTTGTTATCCAAGTGTACTAAGTGTGTGAACACAATGTTATTTTGTACGGGTCCTGCCTTCTTAATGAATTGTTGCTTCCTTATGGGTTGTTTGTTGCTTCATACTACACTACATGCCACAAACAATCAAAAATTAGTATTCGTGATTAATAAGAAAGAGCGAACTTGAAAATTAATAACAAGAGCGAACTTGAAAATAAAAATACGAACGTGCTTAAATATAAACATCTATCAATAGGAACGAATGATTGCAAAAAATGTCAAAATCTATACATAGCTAGCTAGGATCGTTAGTTTTACAAGCTGAACAATATAGTCCAACGTAGGAAGCAACAATTCTACCACATAGCTTGAAAATAAACATCACACTTCACTACAGCTATATAATAATGGCTGGTTTTCATGAACAAAATAAGTCCAGAAGACTTTCAATAAGTGATTAATTGACTTGGGATGCTAGTTTGGTTGCCTTCTGGCCCAATGGTTGCTGCTTTTGGCCCTCAAATGTACACAATATGTAGAGCTCGTTAATCAACTTGGACAAATAGGTTTTTGTTGGTTAAGTGGCAAGCAAATTGTTTCCATGATTCATATTAATAAGCGTACACAATTGAACAAAGCATGTTGATTGTAGTCCAGCGGATGGAAGTTTGCAATGCCAATTTATGTCTTAGGTTCGACACCCATCAGAAGCATTTCAGTTTTGGTTTTAAGTTATTACTACTAGGAATAAGCCCGCGCTTCGCTGCGAGATGATTCATATTAATAAGCGTACACAATTGAACAAAGAATGTTGATTGCAGTCCAGCGGATGGCAGTTTGCAAGCCTAATTTTTTGGCTTGGGTTCGAAACCCATCAGCAGCATTTCATTTTTGGTTTTAAGTTATTGCAGTTGTACAACATTTGAAGGCTTCTGATGCCAATGATGCCATTGTGGGGGCTATCTTACGAGAAGTCATCTTTATGTTGCAAGAATTGCCATTGGTTTCTGTTGCTTTTACTCCTAGAGAAGCGAATCGGGCTGCCCATGTTGTGGCACGTAATGCCTTATGCTACTCTGGCTCTTGTAATGTTCGTTTTAATTGTTCTTATTTGTTTTGACTATCATTTCACGAAGAAGCCGTTGTATTGTGGCTCTCTCGTGCTTACCTAGTTAATCCGCAAGGGTTTCTATGACAAAATAAAATAAAATAAGCCCGCGCTGCGGGATGTGTTTTATTTTTGGACACCAATTTTCGTCTCAGAATATGTGTTTTTCCCCTTGCAACTTATTCCATTAAGGACATCTGCATATCAATATTGTCTAACACTGAATATAGGTACCTATGCAAAAGTAATTCCCAAAATGTGTCCTAAGCATTCACAATAGATTCACAGTTTGACTGAACTACCTGATTAAGCCAGGTGGTAGTTGTTGCTGCGAAATAGACAGATCAACAAAGATCTACAAAATATGTGCATCATGTTCAGTGAACGGCATGTACATGACAAAAGGCTGGACCAAAAGTGTTGTCAATTATGTCAGGGCTTAGGTAGAAACAGCAAAAGGCGGTCAATCAGTAGCAGTTTTCCTGATTCAAAATGTAGCTGGTCGAAGTTGATGTTCAATCGTCGAAAGCACAGCGATCCCAAAGTGTGGCAATCCTGATGTGCGGCACGGTGCTCTGACCTGGGTTTGGCCATGCAATGTATAGTTCTGCTGCGAAGGTCTTCTCGCAGTTTTTCTTGATGATGTCTTTTATTTCATCTTCATTCAGTTTGAGATACTTTGCCGGCATCATGCAGATTATTGACAGAGCTGCCTCGTGGTTGAGTACAACATCGGCCTCGGATGATTCAGATTTGCACCTTGCCTCGATTTGGTAATGTAGTCTGGTCATAATAGAAGCTCGTTAGCTTTGTTGAGAATAATGCAAGCGTTCCTTGCCAAAAGTGCAAACCGGTCAATTTAAATATTTAATCTCACCTTGGCGTTTCCCGAGTGGTTCTGCAAATGTCGATTTTGCATTTGACATGAGTGAACTTGATTATGGTTCGGTAGAGGGTCTGAAATATAAAAATTGTTTTTGCCAGGTTAGAGTGCACGGCAATAGCAAGTGAAACATATTTGAATGTTGGGATTTTTCAAAGCATCATAATATACCTCACGATGTTGTGGTATTGAACTCAAGTCTTCTTTTATCTGAGCAAGTGTTCTTCTTGGGGGGGCGAGGGTAGCGTAAGTATCCCATCCTTTCAGCTGTTCCATAGATTATGTACTTGATCGGTTTGCGGCATGGCAGAAACCTGAGTTTTGCAAATAGATGTCTATGTTAGGCTAAGTTGATGCAATGAAAGCATATTTGAAGTGAACAAATTTTCTTAGAGATTGTTAGGAAATCAATACATGTTCATGACTCTTTCAGTGGTCTCATTGTATGAACTGATAATCAGACGACTGGCTTGTGTCGATTCCAGCTCATATATACCATCATCGTTGCATGCATGGGGCACGGAGACTACCGATGTAACTGTGGTTATCAGCGGGAGGTGCGACTCTACTTCTGCTGCTTATTGGAGGTAACCAGCGACATCGTAGCCACAGTACTGCACAACAGCCTTGTTCCCACTGTTTTGCAAATGCAAACAAAATATAAATTATTCGCTGTCGAAAGTTATAACGATCTTAGGTACATAGTTTAGTATACCTGTAGTCTTCAATAACCAGATGGAAATCAAGCATGCCATCTTGGAGGGCATTTGGTAATGTGATTCGCCGTACGCAGCCTGTGACATCTGTAATTGCATAGATGTTATGGGATTTTTAGTGTGTGTTGGTCGTGAAAGTGATGTACATTGTTTTACCTGCGTGGCAGTGGAAACTTTCAAACTTTGCAGGGACCATTGAGAAATGAGAGTTCAGGAATGAGTCGAGGGGAAACTTAGGATTGTTCTGGTCTTCTTCAATGTTGTCAATCAGTTGGTCAGAGTTCATGAGCAGCCGCAGTTCTCTTGGGACAATGCGTTTGTTCTTACTCGACGGGATTGTAACGATAATGCTTAGGCGATACAGACAACCAACTTTGATCCTCGCCATCACGTCATCAATGTCCTTTTCATATGCCAGAGCTTCAATAACTCGTTTCTGCGGGATTAGCAGGTGTAAAAGAATGTTATAGATAAGCAGGTAGTGTTTTTTTTTGCTGGGAAATCGTAAACAAACCTTTTTGTCCATCCAGAGCATGCGCAATGCTGGCGTTTTCCAAACCTTTCCGTCAATGACTTCTGTCCACGTTTTTAGAAGCCGAGCTATCACAGTACGGTTGTTGGTTCCCAACCGCAAACCTCGAAACATCATCGAAGCACAAATGGGGTCTACAATAGAGACAAGAAACACACTAAGTGGAGTCACCATTTATTGTAAGATTTTGCGAATCAATCAAATCCAGTACCAATTTAGACCTACAGAAACACAAACATCAAACCTTGGGGATCGGTGGGGTCCTCGTAATCCCGCGAGGCGACTGGGTTGTCTCGGCGGAAAACTGCCATAGTTCGTGTGTCCGCTGCGATCGTAGTAATCTTTATTAGAGGAATATGATGTTTTCTACTGAGTGGCGTGCTTAGGACCAGATAGTGACATACCTTGGCGCTAGGGTTTTCACCGTGGTCGAAAGGGGCAGTTTTTACCGCCGATGCCAGCGAAGATATGGAACGAGGTCTGTGTTGTCGAGGGAGGCAAGAGCAGGGCTTAAGTAAATTGAATGCGGCCTAAAAAAGACAGGCCGGAAGGCTGATTTGGGCCTTCTGGCCCAATGGTTGATGCTTTTGGCCATAAATGTACACAATATGTTGAGCTCGTTAATCAGCTTACGAGCCCAATTGTTTCCATGATTCATATAAATAAGCGTACACAATTAAACAAAGAATGTTGATTGTAGTCCAACGGAAGGCAGTTTACGAGCCCAATTAATGGCTTGGGTTCGACACCCATCAGCAACATTTCATTTTTTATTTATCCGTTTGTTAACACGGACCAGATTGATCTTGGTTTTTAACACGGAACACTCTTATTTGTCCATACCTGTTATTCAAAGGTTTCATCTTCGGTATAAACCAACAGGCAATCTCCAAATACAACTGCCTATACGATACATCTAAATACACAATCCAATGACAAAAATTTCGGCTTGGCTAATTTCTTTGGAGTGGCATGATAATACACCATCTACTTGTCAATTTTCCGGTTTATTAATTTCTTTTTACTTTTCAATTGACATCGATAGCCAAAAGTAACCGGCAAACCTTCACGTACCTACTAATGTACTACGCGAAGGACATACTTACAAGCAAAAACCCTAAACCCTGAACCCTAAACTCTATACTCTAAAACCCTGAACCCTGAACCCTAGACCCTAAAACCCTATACCCTAAAACCACAAAGAACACATTCATGTATTGCTAATGACCACAATGACAAAAGGATTATTGTTGAACTTACTAACATCTCCTCACTTTGTTGGAATGCCACGTTACCCTTTAGCTTTATTACGAAAGTTATGAGGATCTGGATACGAGTCGTATTAAGAAACATTGTATGTTCAGAGTTTTCAAATGATCAGAGTATGGATCACTTTCTTAGTAGGAATATGAATAGGAATAAGAATTCCCGTCAAATTGCGAATTAACAGACTGCAATTCCAATTGGATTCGAATCATATTGTACATTGTATGAGGTAGATTTAGTGGTGGAAGAAACTCTATCCCCTGTGGCTCCGATGTCATGTGGGTGGTTACCCGTGGTTACGAGTTTGGATTCAACTAACCATGTGTCCCGATATTGATGTTTGGGCTGTTGCTTGATAAACTAAAAAACTTATTGATAAGGAAAATGAAACTTAATTAAATACATGACATGCATATAAGAGTACAAAATCTCGGAGTTGCACTGAATGATATAAAATCTTCGACCATCGATATATATAGTCCAAGCAATAATTGGTTGTAATAAAATAAATCCTAGACTGATCAATACTCCATCTCGATCGAAAAATTATTACGATACTAAGTGACATACTTAACTCATGTTGATAAGGATCGAAAATTCTCGAACACGAGCAAACATTAACAATGTTATCAAAAAAATATTACTGACAAATGGAATCTCTTTAATACATAATAATTATTAATTAACCAAAATTCTTCCTTCCATGTTTCGGTTTGGTAAAGCATAATAGGGAAACAAAATTTGAGAGTATAATTCTGATACCTTGTAGGAAAAGGGCGCCAAATCTCTCCTTTAATGAAACTAGCTTTGTGCCCGGCCATTGGCCGGATAATTTTTGTTATTAACAATAAATTAATTATTAAATTATTTCAGTTAATCCACAACTCT